ATATACAAATACTCAGAACTAACCAGAAAGCATCTCATTCCCCAAATAAAACAGCGTCATCTATCATCAGCATCATCATCATCATAAACCACTTCTGCCGTTAAACGACGTGGGGAGGAATAATTTGTGATCCAGTGCACGTTGGCTGCCACTGGCTATTGTCATGCCGTGAAGGCGTAGAGTGTCTTTAATGTTGTCGATGCATGTTTCCGCGGCCGCCCTCTTGCTCTTGTAGCTGATCTTCTGAGATGTCGTGCTTGTGATGGTATTTGATCTTGCTGCATTCTAACGAGATGGTCAAACCACTTGATCTGCTGAATCTCGATGAATCTAGTACACGGTGTAGTTCCCAAAATTTGCCTGACAGTTTCATTATTCAACACATCTATAACATAGAAAATATCACAATTCTGCCAACAAGAGCAGAACAAGTCCAGTAGTGGCTCTGAGCTCACTGTGGCATCCCTAGAAATGCAGACACAAATGTGCTCACGAAGGATACAGAATCATGACCACCTATCGTTATAGGCATGGCACATGATGATGATGATGATGATATTTCCAAGTTTTAAAAAAGGGGGCGGGGGCGCTCGGCGTTTTTTTTTTTTTTTTATTGAAAAGGAAGTGGTGGTCCAACAAGTTTGGGAACCCTTGCTCTAACTAGAGAGTGAGCTTCCCTAACTATCGCTATTTAATTTGATAAACAACATTAAAACAGTTTAACAGACCTCATCAACTCGTCGTTAAATCTGACACCAGCAGTCATTTCCTAATCTGCTGTGATGCTCTTACCTTCAGGCTATACAGTTCCTGAAGATTAAATAGATTATGTAATCAGGTTTACAGATTAACTTGTGGAGATACTAACAAGCCACGTACAGTGGGAAAGGGTATATAAGTAGAGGCCTCCTTCAAGGTACATCACCAACACTGCTCCATCTTCCAGAAGTCTTTGCTGCTCAGCCAGGATCCACAACTCTGACGTGAGTATAGTGCGTCATTTTACTGTCACACTGGTTAGGTTAAGGAACCATAATTCTGACGTGAGTATAGTGCGTCGTTTTACTGTCACACTAGTTAGGTTAAGGAACCATAACTCTGACGTGAGTATAGTGCGTCGTTTTACTGTCACACTGGTTAGGTTAAGGAACCATAACACTGACGTGAGTGTAGTGCGTCGTTATACTGTCACACTGGTTAGGTTAAGGAACCACAACTATGACGTGAGTTTAGTGCATCGTTTTACTGTCACACTGGTTAGGTTAAGGAACCATAACTCTGACGTGAGTATAGTGCGTCGTTTTACTGTCACACTGGTTAGGTTAAGGAACCACAACTCTAACGTGAGTGTAGTGCGTCGTTATACTGTCACACTGGTTAGGTTATCTTCTTCTGCGTGTTCAGCTTTGAAAGAGCCGTTGACATTTTGTGTTGTGGTTTCAGCTAGTCGGCGAAATATAGGCTTTTTTGGTCGAACACATCTCCCTCGCAATCTAAGGAAAGTTTTAATATGCAAGGTAGCATTATAAAATGAGGAGCCATCGTGGCTTAGAGCGGCGTTCGTGGCTTAGGCTTTGCAAGTCCGACTCGTAATTCCAACGTACCGCGATCTTTACCCACTGCTGGCTGCGGGGATTTTTATCGTGGTATGGGGTATCGCAGATCAACTCAGCCTAAAATAGGTACCAAGATGGCTGTCATGGGGAAGTAGAGACGGCCGGCGTAATGCTGACCACATTACCCACCTAGTGCCGATGGTCTGAAGAAATATGGGCGCTCTTCCCATATACCCGATGGGCCTAAATGTGTTCTTCTTTCGTGAAATAAATTATCAATATCTGCAGTGCTGTCTCTAGTATGCATTTCACTGTCTTTTGTAATTCCCTAAGCGGCCCGTAAATTATTACTTCCACAAGTGTTTCTTTTGGCCAGAAGTTTTGACTGGAAGCGTTGAATCTGGGATAGTCTTGGGGGATGTGATCTGTTGTCTCAGGTACCAGTCCATAGGTATACATGGCTGATTTGCCAATCTTAAATTTTGTGTACATGTGGCAGCGAAGTCGATTGTGCCCTGTTCTTAGGCGGAGGATAATGACTTGCTCTGGTCTGTCCATAAAATGGTAATCGTCTTGTGCCAGTTTCGGTGACTTTCTGATTGATTTGATTATTATCTTCTTCTGTTGATAAGATACTGGTATGTCAGGTTGTTCTTCAGTTGCACATTCCTTAGCTAGTTTATCAGCTCTTTCGTTTCCGGGAACTCCACAGTGGAAAGGTATCCACTGCATTACTAAATTACAACGGTTGCCTAGTTCGGAAAATAGTGTCTGTATACTTGGTAATTTTCCAGACGAGTGGTTGAAGTACCGATTTTGTATCTGTCAGGAATACCACTGGTTGTGAAAAATACCCTGTATTTAGTAGTTTCTCTACCGCTGTCTTGATGGCTTGAACTTCTGCATCATAGTTGTGACAGTGCTTTCCTGTTGGTATTTTGGCTGTATCCCTAGTATTATTTAGATATTCAATCTACACTCCGGCACCTCCGTTTCTGACTGCACTTTCTGCTGACCCATCTGTGTAAACACGGACCCAAAGATTCTGCGGGTATTCATCAAGTAGACTGAGGGTGGTTATCTTAACCTAAAGGTGTGAAAAGGGATCTTTACTTTTACTTTTATGGTGGTTTAAAGGTAAGGGTGCTAGTCTGTGGAAACAAATGGCCAGAAGTGGTAGGATGTGTTCATCCATTACATACTTCTTCTTCTTCTTTTTCTTCTTCTTCTTCTTCTTCTTCTTCTTCTTCTTCTTCTTCTTCTTCTTCTTCTTCTTCTTCTTCTTCTTCTTCTTCTTCTTCATCTTCTTCTTCTTCTTCTTCTTCTTCTTCTTCTTCTTCTTCTTCATCTTCTTCTTCTTCTTCGTCTTCTCTTGTACCTCATCGAAGTGTCGGGGGGGGGGGGGGGGGGGGGGGGGGGGGAGGGGGGAATGTAATGTTCGTTGATGAGCTCTGTCAAGAGCACTATTAAGACTGATGTTCATTTCTGTAAGGCTGTTCTTAATGCCATCACTTCATCTTTTCCGAGGTCTTCCACTCGCTCTATACCCGTTGTAACGTTTTATTGTGGCTCGCTCTGGCAGATAGTACCAGGGCATTCTTGTCAGGTGTCCAAACCACATTTGTTGCTCTTTGATGACCTGTAAGACTGGCTTTATTCCTAGCATTCGTCTGATTTCATGATTTCGTATTCTGTCTTTCCTTGAAACTCCTGCAGCTCTTCTAATGCATTTTATCTCTGTTGTCACAATTTTACGTTCATTAGAGGATGTAAGTGTCCACGTTTGGCATTGATAGCAGTGTTGGCCAAAAAATAGTTCTGATAAGATTCACTTTAATACTCCGAGGTATCTGCTTGTGTGTCAACAGGGGAGATAGTTGCCCCATTACTTGATTAGCTTTGGCACATCTGGAGCTAATTTCTCTGTCCAGTTTCCATTACATCCTAGGTGTCGAATCAGCGCCATCATTCACATATAAGCCTCACCTAGAGTAGTTACAGCTTTCTGATGTAGCCGGTACGGGTCTCCGCTCTTGAAACGTCTTCGTAAGTTAAACAGGATATCTAGTATTTGCCCTGTTAGTCTGCCATCCAGTTTGAGATTTGGTATTCTCGGGGCGTCAACCTTTCAGGCAGCAACCGAAGAGGCGGGAAAACGTCAACGTCATAACAGTGGGTACCTGATCTTTGAGACGCTTTTTTCTCTCTTTACAAATTGTGAAGACAGTGTTGTGATTGGAGGGGAGGGAGGGGGGTCCACACTAGCCCATATATAATTGTCTAGAATGTGTAAATGCCTTAAACATCACATACCAAATGGCAGAATCTGCTTTGCATTTTTTTGTCCAAACAACATACTGCACACGTTTATTGTACCAGCCTCTGAATTAGCTATCTTCTTTTTAAAATCATATAATTGCAGTTGCCGATGTACGTTATATGGGTCTAGTCTCTGTTCCCAGTTATCATATGCAGTCTAGTCTCTTTTCCTAGTTATCATGTGCAGTCTAGTCTCTTTTCCTAGTTATCATGTGCAGTCTAGTCTCTTTTCCTAGTTATCATGTGCAGTCTAGTCTCTTTTCCTAGTTATCATGTGCAGTCTAGTCTCTTTTCCTAGTTATCATGTGCAGTCTAGTCTCTTTTCCTAGTTAGCATGTGCAGTCTAGTCTCTTTTCCTAGTTAGCATGTGCAGTCTAGTCTCTTTTCCTAGTTATCATGTGCAGTCTAGTCTCTATTCCTAGTTATCATGTGCAGTCTAGTCTCTATTCCCAGTTATCATATGCAGTCTAGTCTCTTTTCCTAGTTATCATGTGCAGTCTAGTCTCTTTTCCTAGTTATCATGTGCAGTCTAGTCTCTATTCCTAGTTATCATGTGCAGTCTAGTCTCTATTCCCAGTTGTCATGTGCAGTCTAGTCTCTATTCCCAGTTACCGTGTGCAGTCTAATCTCTTTTCCTAGTTATCATGTGCAGTCTAGTCTCTTTTCCTAGTTATCATGTGCAGTCTAGTCTCTATTCCCAGTTATGATATGCAGTCTAGTCTCTATTCCCAGTTATCATGTGCAGTCTAGTCTCTTTTCCTAGTTATCATGTGCAGTCTAGTCTCTATTCCTAGTTACCATGTGCAGTCTTTTCTCTATCATGAATACAATACACTCGAGTGCCTTTTGATGCTCTTAATGACGTTAATGTCTGAGTTTTTCTTGTCCTCGTTTCCTAAATTTTCTTCCCATTCCAGTGCCTCCTAAAATTAAAAAAATGGGTACAAAGTACCACAACTATAATTTAGATGTGATATTTTAATGTGATATTTTAACGTGATGTTTCAACGGCTGTAGCAAATATCTGCTCCAGTAACTAATCAATGTTTTCCTTCCGCCCACAGATCATGTACAAGACGGTCCTTGTAGTTGCTTTCATTGCCCTCGCTGTCATGGCAGCACAAGTTCATGGCTCCGCTTTTGTAGGACTTGGTCTAGGTGCTGGTATTGGGGGAGGATACGGGGGGTATGGAGGATATGGAGGAGGTTATGGAGGATATGGAGGAGGTTATGGAGGAGTTCTTGGCGGATTAGGAGGTGGTTATGGACTTGGAGGTGGTTATGGACTTGGAGGTGGTTATGGACTTGGAGGTGGTTATGGACTTGGAGGTGGATACGGAAAAGTAGTTCTGCCAGTCCCTGTCTCTATTCCAGTGCCAGTCGTTGTCAAGGGCGGATATGGAGGCGGCTACGGCGGCGGCTTAGGTGGTGGATATGGTGGCGGATATGGTAAGTCGTAAAATCTGGTATTCATTTCTTGTAGCGGATATGGTAAGTCGTAAAATCTGGTATTCATTTCTTGTAGCGGATATGGTAAGTCGTAAAATCTGGTATTCATTTCTTGTAGCGGATATGGTAAGTCGTAAAATCTGGTATTCATTTCTTGTAGCGGATATGGTAAGTCGTAAAATCTGGTATTCATTTCTTGTAGCGGATATGGTAAGTCGTATAATCTGCTATTCATTTCTTGTAGCGGATTTGGTAAGTCATAAAATCTGGTATTCATTTCTTGTAGCGGATATGGTAAGTCGTAAAATCTGGTATTCATTTCTTGTAGCGGGTATGGTAAGTCGTATAATCTGGTATTCATTTCTTGTAGCAGATGTGGTAAGTCCTGCAATCTGGTATTCATTTCTTGTAGCGCAGTGATAGCGGCAAAACATCAAACGGAAAAGACAACTAGAAATTGAAGTTAATACAGATAAGGAGGACATGGGCGAGCTGCACCCGATAACAAAGGATAGAGGACTAGGCGTGAGTTGTGCCTATGCTCCCGTGAAAAACAGAAGAAGTGGTAGCCCTCTCTGTCTGGCTGTCCATTAGTCTCTATATAAACCTGTCTGGCTGTCCATTAATCTCTATATAAACCTGTCTGGCTGTCCATTAGTCTCTATATAAACCTGTCTGGCTGTCCATTAGTCTCTATATAAACCTGTCTGGTTGTCCATTAGTCTCTAAATAAACCTGTCTGGCTGTCCATTAGTCTCTATATAAACCTGTCTGGTTGTCCATTAGTCTCTATATAAACCTGTCTGGCTGTCCATTAGTCTCTATATAAACCTGTCTGGCTGTCCATTAGTCTCTATATAAACCTGTCTGGCTGTCCATTAGTCTCTATATAAACCTGTCTGGCTGTCCATTAGTCTCTATATAAACCTGTCTGGCTGTCCACTAGTCTCTATATAAACCTGTCTGGCTGTCCATTAGTCTCTATATAAACCTGTCTGGCTGTCCACTAGTCTCTATATAAACCTGTCTGGCTGTCCATTAGTCTCTATATAAACCTGTCTGGCTGTCCATTAGTCTCTATATAAACCTGTCTGGCTGTCCACTAGTCTCTATATAAACCTGTCTGGCTGTCCACTAGTCTCTATATAAACCTGTCTGGCTGTCCATTAGTCTCTATATAAACCTGTCTGGCTGTCCACTAGTCTCTATATAAACCTGTCTGGCTGTCCATTAGTCTCTATATAAACCTGTCTGGCTGTCCACTAGTCTCTATATAAACAATCTGCGATCGAGACAGGAAATTAGTCATCCCCGTGTGGGGTGCAATTTGTCGTTATTTGAAGCCCCAGCCCTGGCTTTGGTCGAGGGCCTTCAATATAGCCGGGCCTTCAATATAGCCGGGCCTTCAATATAGCCGGGCCTTCAATATAGCCGGGCCTTCAATATAGCCGGGCCTTCAATATAGCCGGGCCTTCAATATAGTCGGGCCTGAAATATAGCCGGGCCTTCAATATCGCCTAACGACTAAAGGGGGTTTCTGTGACCTTTTCTTCTTCTTCTTCTTCTTCTTCTTCTTCTTCTTCTTCTTCTTCTTCTTCTTCTTCTTCTTCTTCTTCTTCTTCTTCTTCTTCTTCTTCTTCTTCTTCTTCTTCTTCTTCTTCTTCTTCTTCTTCTTCTTCTTCTTCTTCTTCTTCTTCTTCTTCTTCTTCTTTCTTCTTCTTCTTCTTCTTCTTCTTCTTCTTCTTCTTCTTCTTTTCTTTCTTCTTCTTCTTCTTCTTCTTCTTCTTCTTCTTCTTCTTTCTTCTTCTTCTCTTCTTCTTCTTCTTCTTCTTTCTTCTTCTTCTTCTTCTTCTCTTCTTCTTCTTCTTCTTCTTCTTCTTCTTCTTCTTCTTCTTCTTCTTCTTCTTCTTCTTCTTCTTCCTCCTCTTCTTCCTCTTCCTCTTCTTCTTCTTCTTCTTCTTTCTCTTTTTCTTTTCTTCTTCTTCTTCTTCTTCTTATTTTTCTTCTTCTTCTTCTTCTTCTTCTTCTTCTTCTTCTTCTTCTTCTTCTTCTTCTTCTTCTTCTTCTTCTTCTTCTTCTTCTTCTTCTTCTTCTTCTTCTTCTTCTTCTTCTTCTCTTCTTCTTCTTCTTCTTCTTCTTCTTCTTCTTCTTCTTCTTCTTCTTCTTATTCTTCTTCTTCTTCTTCTTCTTCTTCTTTTTTCTTCTTCTTCTGCATCATCATCTTCACGTTCACCGGCTATACTTGAGTTTTGTGCGCTTGTTTGTCTTACATATCTGCCTTATTTATATGCAGACTGTCGGTTCCTTGACGAATAAATCCTGTAATTATTTGACTGTGTGTCCATCTTGCGTGTTCTTTTAGTAGTGAAAATTGGTCCAATCCCCTGGGTACTACCCGCTGCTCCATTCCCTTCAGATCGGCATTTTCTATTTGTGCCCACAGAAATATTCACCCGTTAGTGAAAGGCCTCAGAGACATCTAGCTTGTAGTGCCTGTCTTTGCTGAAAGTCGCAGTTCCAACCTCCCAGCAATGTCACCCCTTCTTTGCGGTGCCAGCCAAAACCACACAGAATGGCTATCATTGATTGTGTTTAAGCAACAACAAATGGAGCCTCGGCAAAGTCAACAGTATTCGCACGGATTAAATACATAAGGCCGTCAACTGAAATTCCAACACAAAGCTGACATTTCATATTGTTTAAGTTGTCGTCTATGAAAGCAGCAGTAACCACAAATCAGCAGTTGCAAATGCATTACTGCATAAGGCAAAGCCAGTTCTTTGGCAGCAGGCAGGCAACCGTTTTCTCAGTCTGCACTTTTCAAAACAAATCGTCTTGTACAGGCATGTACTTGAAATCTACAACAGTATTCTACCATGCAAACAGCTCTGTAGCTTAAAGTTTTCTCTCGAATATATGCGCACAACAGTGAAAGACCGCATTGCTCTAAATGTGAAACGTATTGTTCTGCACACGATGTTTGTAATTTCTTTAATGAACTAGAGAATTTCCACTGACGTTCAGCTAAAAGGTTGTATAGCACAAGTATAAAGAGAGAAAAAGACAGACAAATGTTATCGATAATATCTGATGAAAGTATGTTGTGCTGAAGTTCCACAGAGCATGCACACAAGTTGCTACGGCAACTAATTATTACAGTCGTGTTAATTTACACTTCCACTTACTGAATATAGACGTCACTGACCAACAAATATTTCTTCTCCATCCACAGGATACTAGAGCTCCTTGCCATCCAGCTTCAGAAGTCTGTTAGCGTTCATTGCAAATAAATAAACGTGTTTATTTAACACTAACTTGCTGTTGTTTGTGTTTGTATTTTATTACATAATGATAGATCGTTTTGTTTTAAATGTAAACAGGAAGCAACAAGGGTTATAATTGAAGTGACAGCTTCTCCTCCTGTCTTCCTCCTTCTCTTTCCCCTTCCTTCTTCTCTTTCTCCTCCCCTTCCTCCTTCTCCTTGCCCTTCCTCCTCTTCTTCCTTCGTCTTCTTATTATCATTATGTGTCCCCTTCAGCCTCCTCCCCATCTTCTTCTTCTTCTTCTTCCAGCTATCTCATCGAAGTGTTTGGGAGATATGTAAGGACGGTCTGTGTGCTCTGTCTAATGCGTTGTTTAAGTTGCAGCTTCTTTTTCTTCTAAGATTGTTCTTCTCTCTCTCTCTCTCTCTCTCTCTCTCTCTCTCTCTCTCTCTCTCTCTCTCTCTCTTTCTGAATGTGTGGGTGTGTGTGTGTGTGCATATCTTGCTCTGGGTTTATTACATTTCTTCAACACGCCCCTCTGTAGCAGTTGGTACCATAACATCCACGTCAGACAGGATCAACACGTCCCTCTGTAGCAGTTGGTACCATAACATCCAAGTCAGACAGGATCAACACGCCCCTTTGTAGCAGTTGGTACCATAACATCCACGTCAGACAGGATCAACACGTCCCTCTGTAACAGCTGGTACCATAACATCCACGTCAGACAGGATCAACACGCCCCTCTGTAGCAGCTGGTACCATAACATCCACGTCAGACAGGACCAACACGTCCCTCTGTAGCTGTTGGTACCATAACATCCACGTCAGACAGGATCAACACATCGCATCTGTGGCTCTGTAATAAACTATTTCGCTGGTGGGAGAAAAAGGGGAAACTAGAAGATGTGTGCAAAGGGAGTAAGAGAAGGACACTGCGAAACCATTTTTGACAGCCTTGTGTCATTTCATGGAAAGGTGTCAGCCCATGAGGTGATACATGTTATTCCAAATCGCAGATTTTCTAGAGGAATTTCCCGTATGAGTTCCGGGGCTCCATTGTGGGTGGGTGGGGGGGGGGGGGGGGGACAAGCATGTCCAAAAAGCATGTCGTAGTAATCGACTAATTGGGGTCTCCTTTGAAGTAAGAGTGCATTTACCCGAGCGGCTAGGAACAACCAGCTGCACACAAATAAGCAGGTAAACGGATGTACACGCAAAACTCGGGCTATGGCACAACGCCATAGTCCAGGAACAACCAGGACCTTCCGCCGGAGCTCACATCCGGTGAACGAAGAAAAAGAAGAGGTAGAGGCATGATCGTCTAGGTGAGTCGGTAAGGTACTTGATGATGTTGACGTAGACTCGTTTCAGCCCAAGTCTTCTTCACATTTCTTATTGTTAAATTTCAATGCTGCGCTTGCCTGAACATTTGAATCCTCACAGTCATATTTTCATGGTCAACTTTCGCGCGGAACAAGTCTGTTTGAGCCATGGTCTAGATGTCTTATTATCTTCTGAATCAGTTTTCTGTGTCCATCGACATATCAAGGCCTTGATAACACAGTGTGTACCAGTATCGGCGTTTGTGGTTTAGGCGTCGCGGACGCCCTTTGCTATGCGGGGATGCTGGGTTCGATCACAGCTGCAGGCAATTTGGCAGCTGACCGTCTAGACAGTGTTACCAGGAGCTGAGCCTTCAGGGGTAATTGCAAACTACTGAACCTAACATTTGCCTGAAAAAAAAA